GGCCTATACATAAGTCTGGGACTCATGAAGACTAAGAAATAGACACAAGAGATTTATTATCACCAAGTGTTATACATAAAAATATGTTACCCTGATATCTAAAGTCATTTTGAAAAAACTTAAGGACCTTGGTTTTCTTTTGAAATGTGGTGTTCCACAGATAACTTTCATATTAAATTATTTGGTCTCCTCATCTATTGTTTGGATAGAAAATGCAGATTTTTTTCATTTTTTATAAGCTTTAACATAAGCAGCAGTCTCTAGTAAGGCAGTATTGCTATGCATTTGCATTGTTATAGAATTAAATTATGGATTCTGGCATTCAAAAGAGAATGCTTTATAAATCAAGTAAAATCTCATAACTAAGATGAATACGTTTTTTTAAAAATCTCATGCTGCCTCGTATTTTATACTTCAGTTTTAGAGCTTAACTTGATGTAATTTTTAAAGTATAATTCTTTCTTTTCTATCGCTGTGCTATATATTTGCTTTGTAAAAATGTCATTAGTTCCCCAAGAAAAAGCTTAAGAAAACTTACTATATGTAAAGAACAATAATAAAAAAGCACAGAGACAGGTAATAATTCTTTATCTATAGTTTGGCAGGAAATGTGCCAAATACACTAAGTTCTCACTCTCCTTCCTCTCCTGCTTTGATTGAGTCAATATAAGCAAAGTTAAAACTGTAAATAATAACAAATGGTAAGAAGATGTGTTCCTTTTTCATTTTTTTAACCTGATCTATTGTTTGGAATTTCTCAATATAAAGGCAATGTGTGTGTGTGTGTGTGTGTGTGTACATCCACATATATACATTACAGATTGTTTTCTATGTAACTGTCTCTGGTTTTGTTTGCTATTTGTCTGGAAAAGCTGTCAAAGGTAAATTTGCAATCCCAAAGCAGTCCTGTTCAGCAGGCACCTCGTTTCTTTTTCACTGCTGCTATGTAACTTCCCCAAAGCATGGGAATCAGGGGGACAGTCCTTAATGTGAGTACAAAGGAAAAAGAAAAATGAACTATGGAGAAGGAAGAGCAGGAGTAAGTTATTTCAACTGGTTAGAGGGCAGAATTTCCAAATGCACCTGCAGCTGGTGATAAAAAGGACTGAAATTCAGGAGAGGTCAGAGGTACAGATAGAGATTTAAGATCCAGGCAATTGCTGTGATAGATGAAACTTTACAAGAAAATTTCTCCAGGGAAAGGAGATTGAAGAGAGAGAAGAAGATTTAAGACTGACCCTTGGGGAAATCTTTAATGTTAAGGTTTGGGAGCGGGAACAGAAACCCTGAAGTATAAAATAGAATGCTTGACTCTAGAAGCCTGGTCACCTTAGTTACCCTGGGTGGTAGATGGGAAATATGGGAAGGAAATTTCTTGCCACTATCTTTGCATTAGTGCAGGTTGTGGAAGGTCTAAAACGAAACTTATATTTTCTCCCAGGGGGCACATTAATGGCCAAAAAACCCTCCATTATTGTGATATTTAGTGCACATCAGGATTTCCTTACTGTGCTTGTTTACATATGTTGAAATTATTTACTACTACTCTCAGGTCTTACTATACCAATAAAAGCTTCCTTTTCTTAGATTTGCAGAGTAATGTAAAAGTATATTGAAACTAAGATTATTTGATCATTTTTATTGCTTCTATACCAAGTATATTAAGTATAGTATCTGTTCTTATCAGTATAATATATGATCATTTAATATGTTTAAACATAAATTGATCAATAGAAAAAGCCAAAGAACAAACCTGATGGAAAATAATAGTGACTCCTTTATTTCCTCATGCTATGTTTTATGTTCTACTCAACTTCTTAGCAGGGGAGGTAAATTAACAGCGTTACCTCATTACAGTGATAATGCATTTATGTGTAGTTTGTCTGGGTTTGCATTCTAGGTAGCTCTACAGAGTTTTGAAGGATATCTTGGTTCTCAGTAACATTGTGGGAATGCTTTAATAACAAAATAACTAAGGACAAGTGATTATGTAAACCATTTAGACATCGTAAATAAGGAAAATTCATAACGTGTTGAAATGAAAACCCTTGATGAATCAACTCAGTTTTCTCCTGAGAACTCAGGTGGCCTAGCAACTTGCACTCTTGGGTCCAAAAATAAAAAAAAAGGTTACCTTTTTCTGTCCCCTTTCATCCAATAAATTCATGCAATGTAAAGAATCTGTGGCCAAAGAATTACTTGAAGTTGTGCTTGTCTTAAAGGATTATGGTGGACCTAACAAGCCAAATGAGAGAATCATTAGCTAATTTGCTTAGTGCTCCTGTGTTAAACAAACACAACAGCAGGTCACATTTGAGGATAATAAATACCTGCCCAGTGACATTTTTCGTTCCCACATAGTAAACATGATAATCAGCGGCCATGTTAGCATTTAGGCAACACCAAAGGCAGACTTGGCTATACAGGATTGGCATAGAACCCTTTCAGGAAGAGCTCCAACCATCAACTAAACGTTCAAATAACTGAAACTTCAAAATACTCCCTGGTCTGAGTTATTCAAGGGGACTTAGGACCATTGTCTCTGGAATCTAAAGAACAAATAGCTGCCACATATAAAGATTTATTCTTCACTGATCAGAATATCAGTGGATTTTACAAATTTTCCTCCATCTTTCATGGATTCACGGAAAAAAGAACTTTAGAACCAAAATTGCCCAGAATAATGAAATCCAAAATATTTCTGATATATTTGCCTGTGTAGATATTTAACATTCTGCCTCAATTATCTCGATTGTTCATATATTTAGATCCCAATCTTGAATTTAATTTAACATGCATGATTTTACATCTCACCTCAGGAAATTTTTACTTAAATCAGTAAAATATGATCACACTATTCCTTATATTTTACGCTTTAAACTAATTTGATTCATATCAAAGTAGAACAAAGTGGCTAAGAGAACAAGCTAGAATCAGAATAATTGGGAGTTAGTTCTGGTTTTTCACTTTATAGCTATGTGAGTTTCTCTTAATCTCAGTTTATTTATCTAGAAAATGAAGATTATAAGTGTATCAAACTTAGTGAGTTAGTATGAAGATTCAGTAAATTAATTCATGTAACTACTTATTACGGTATTTAGCATATCCAAATGCCTGGTAAGGAAACTATCTTCTACATACCAGATTTTTAGAAATGTTAATGAATATTTGTCTAATTCTTCATTCTTAGGGTCGGTGTGCTAGAGAGAACTGCAAGTACCTTCACCCTCCTTCACACTTAAAAACACAGCTGGAAATTAATGGACGTAACAATCTGATTCAACAAAAGACTGCCGCAGCCATGTTCGCCCAGCAGATGCAGTTTATGTTCCAAAATGCTCAAATGCCATCACTTGTAAGTTACAGCTATGTCTTTGAAAAGCTGTGTGCACGTGCACACATGTTTTGGGGGGATGTGAAGGGAGAGATGTTGGGGGGTTGTTGAAAGTATGTCTGCACTGGAATAACCTTAGAGGACGATTGGGAAATTAGTTACAGAAGGGTTCAGGATGCAGGCTGATGTGTGATTGCTAATTCAGAGCTGTTGTCTCTGAGAAAAGAGCAAAATTTAAAACTTGGCTTGATTTCAGGATGAATTTGGTTTATAGAAGACTATTAATAAAGGAGCAAGGGCGTTTTATGATGATGAGGAGACTTGATTATTGTTACAGGTCAACCTTTGAACTCTAGGATATTGACTCAAATGCATTACTTGCACCTTGATGGTAGTTTTGATACTTTTAAATAGACTTTTTATATTGAAATAATTTTAGATTTAAAGAAAGTTGTGAGTATAATACAGAGTTCCCTATTACCCCTCACCCCGTTTCCCTCACTGTTCATATCCATGGTATACTTGTCAAAATGAACAAAACGACATTTGCGTGTTACTATTAACTAAGTTCCAGACATTATTCAGACCTCACCAGTTTTCCCACTAGTGTATTCTTTGCTCCAGTGTCCTACTCATGGTACCAAAGTGCAATAACTTGAATACAGTTGAAACTGGGGCCCCCAGCATGCAAGCTGTGTAGCAAGAAGTTTTCCTTTTGTGACTTTGTGTATGGATCATAAAATGGGCCAATGAAGTGTAAGTAAAGTGAACCAATCATGTTCATCAACTCATTAGTTAATGAGCTAATTGGTCCTAAAATGGTCCTGTCAGTCACTTTAAGAGTTGAAAAAGATCCAGTCAGCCAAGTTGGGTAGATAAGGCAGGGCAGGGGCCATCTTAAGGAACTGTGTTTCTACCCTCTGAAGAAAGAAGAAATTCTCACTCTGTTCTTGACCTACAACGAAAGAAAAAAAGAAAATTAATCAAGAAATAATTCAAGAAGTGTACCTCTTAACTAGTAGAACTTTATATAAGTCATGCCAAAAAGAGGTGACAGGACATTGATAAGTCACTAAAAATTTGTACCATGATAGTCTAATTTTGTTTTTTTTTTTAAAGATTATTTATGCATGCAGAAATGCGGTATAGGCCAGAGGTGCAGGGGCGGTGAGAGGCTTCACCAGAGACAGAGTGGGGAGCAGAACAGGCCAAGTGATGAAGCACACTGCTGAGGGGAGCAGCGGGCAGGTCAGGAGAGGTCTGCCGCCCCATGTGGGTCACCTCTGGGGAGGTGGGGATCGAACTCATGCTGAAGTAGCTTTAGCTTCTTAGTGCTGTGCTTTAACCCACTGCACCACCAGGGAGGGCCCAATATTCTAGTTTTAACTAGACGAGTTTAAGTAAAATAAGTTGATTTCATGTTCTGTACTGTTAGTTTGCCTAAAATATTTGTTGTGGAACTCAGTGCTGACTAATTATGTTGATGAATTAATTCCCAGAAGGTCACTCATGAGTTCTCAGAGCTCCTCAAAGCTATTCCTTCACTTTCAATCAGTAGTTTACAGTTGAACTGCATCTTCAGAGCCTTTCCTTGGCTTTCAGGCAACAAAGTATTTCACTTCTTCCACCCTGTTTCTAAATGGTAGGGAAGAAGATGTCTTCCAGATACTTAGGTATCTGGAAGTATGAGCAGAGCTACAAAGAAGTGAATGTGCTTGGTGAGTCCAGAAAATGTGAATAAATGAGGACCAAAGTGAGGGAGCTTTTCACCCACTATTGCTACATTTGGCCTCCTGTGGAATGTCCCAATTGCAGACTGAGCAAAGGAGGAGTCAGATTTTATCACCTACCTGAGCCCGCATTCCCTATAGAGCGGGAGCATATATCTTTTCACAGATCAAGAGGCAGCATGAGGGCACCAATCAAGTGCCTCCTTCAGGGGGTCAGAGAACAAGACCTGGGGCGAAGTAGGGGTAAAGTATGACTGTTCATCTCCTAGTCAGCCTCCAGTAGATTATCTCCATTTCCTTGTCTCAACCCTTGGAACGGATCTTCATGTTACAGGAGTAACATGATCATGCTGGCTCACACGGGAGAATAGGGAGTGACATTTTGAGTCTCCAATAAGAAATCCATTGAGTTTTCTGGCTTTCCATGCTTTCTAGAACAGAATATATTTTCCTTTTTTCCTCAGTGAAAGTATTTCAGATTGCAGATAGCAGAGTATGACTGATACAACTGACAGGAGTAAATTTTATTTTATACATATAACAAGATACAAGGCATTACATACAGGACCCCAGGGAGCCATGGGAAATTTCTTTTCTACCTTGTAGATTACTTAACACTAGCTGTTGTGATTTGATAAACTGATCAAAGATTAGTTTTTGCAGTTATTATGTGTATAAAAAACTAACTCTATATGGTTAATATGATCCTTTTTCTGGTGTAGGAAACTGCTTCGCAGACATGTTGTAATTGAGCTAGTACGAGCAATTTTAACTGGCATTTACATGATTGATTTAAAAATGATCTTTATTATAGATCCTCATATAGAAATAATGTCTGATTTGACTTAATTTCTCTGGGTCCTAGCTCTGCAAACAACTCTCGTTCCTTTTAATCATCATTCCCCTCTCCCACCATGATCATCGGATCCTTTCCCCTAAAATAGTCAAGTTTTTGTTTAAATTTCCAGTCCTGGAGTTTATGTGGTTACTTATGAAGACCCCTTTGGCTTCACTGAGTTGAACTCCAGGTCTTTCCACAGAACATACATTGATATGTTTCTAGGATACCAAAGGAACACATCTGTTCTTGAAAAATTGAGTATAGTTTGCTTGTTATAAGCCCCCACATAAAGGAATGTCAAGCAGGGATGGTAGCTAGAGAAGATTCTGTTCTGTGGGACTGAATGATGTGTGACAGCCACACTTAGTAATGGGGGAGAGGAGGCACGCAGCAGGTACATGTATTCCCCAGGTCTCAGGTGACATACACGAGTACACAATTCCACCTTGAAAACCTTTTGTTAGTTTTAGCAAGGAAGTTCATCAAGTGAGACCAACGGGTGTGATGCCTCATATTTTTCAGTGCAGTTTAAGAGAGTTTCTGATGTTCACAGCAAAACAGATAAGTTTAAGAAATCCCTTGGGCCTAATTAGGAGGCAAAATTGAGCACTGTAGAAGAGTCTTGGGAAAAGTGGACACACTGGATTACTCTCAAGCAAAGCAAATGTCTTAAAATTTTAATTTCAGGGCCCTCCCTGGTGGCGCAGCGGGTTAAAGCACTGCACTGAGAATCTAGAGCCACTTCCGCATGGGTTCGATTCCCGCCTGCCCCGGAGGAGTCCACATGGCGAGGCAGACCTCTCCTGGCCCGCCCACTGCTCCCCTTAGCAGTGTACTTCATAGATCTGCCTGTTCTGCTCCCCATGCTGTCTCTGGTGAAGCCTCTCACCGCCCCTGAGCCTCTGGTCTGTACCCCAGTTCTGTATGCACAAATAAATGGATCTTTAAAAAAAAAATTTTAATTTCACAGCCAGGCATTTGCATTACGGTGGCAGGATTCTCACTGCTGCATGTCACATACTTGTGTACAAAGTGGCTGTGAGGTTATAAGGCTCTTAAGAATATTTAATGTAGACATTTCAGCTAATGTAGACCTATACATATCTATCAATTTCTCTTTTTGAATGTGACAATTAACATGGAAGCAGTTTCTTACCCACAGGTGGCCTCAACCCAGTCCAATGTGTTCAAGTGATGATTTATATAGAGGTTACTGGCTCAGCACATGGGGCCATCAGGTGTGTCCCGGTGTCTGGTGTGCTGCATGTGTCCCATGGCTGACATTCCTGGGGCCAAGTTACGTTGTCCCAAACCATGGGGGCTATAAACGTGGGTGGACTCCATTCCACTCTTTTCATTTATCTCACAGATGGAATCATCTGATATCTTTCTGGATTCTCTGCACCTTTTTACAAAATCTTTGTTTGCTAAATGCATTTCTCATAAACAAGCTTATCTGATTAACTAATATTAATACAGTAAGCACTAAAGGTGACATAACCCTTGAGGCCCAAAAGGGGGAAAATGAAGTTCCAACAGATAGGAAGAAAGGAGATATCCCAGTTAATGCACAGTTATTACTTTTAGACTCCAGTGTTCCTAATATCTCTTCTTTATAGCTAAGACTTCTCCCCATCATCAGGATACTTTCTGCATTGTGTCTGTCCATATCGGATGCACTTGCAATTTTTCTAGTTCACATTATCTTTATCAACTGAGGTGTTTATGTCATGGCTTTCATTTTAAATTTTTTATGAAAATGTGGGGAAGACAGTGTGTAGATTTAACAGAAGAGACAACAATCCACATTCCAGGTTACCAGTCTCCTTATCCCTGCAGAAATTAGTATATTGTAATCAAGGTTCTTCAGTGGATTTCTGCTTACTTACATGTTAGCTCTTTCTTCTCAATGTGGTAAGATAGAATGTTTTGTAAGGGGAGTTTTGCAAAGTGTTCAACTCAGTAGACAGCAGGCATTATGAAATGATAAGATTTATCTCCTTTCATACCATTAGTATGCCATGACTACATGAAGATCCACACTTCACGGGGGGGGGGAGGGGGCGGATGTCCAGAGCATCACCTTCTAGAGGCCCCAAATTTTGTCTGATTCTACTACATTTTCTAAAAGATTAGACAAGATTGTGCTCTTAGATATAGCAGCCGAAGCCTAGCATTTCTTATTTGTTCGACAAATTGTACCCAGGGGCACACTTACCTTGAGGTTAATGAAGACTCATTTGCATGGTCTCCATTGGAGCCCTAGTGGTGTATAGCACTGTATAATATGTTTGTAAAATTTTCCAAAAGACATTCATGTATTCTTGGTTCTTAAAGATCCCCTCTCCAATGCAACTGCCTTATTTTCAGGTCTCGGAGATCCTGGATCCAATCCTGATTGCAATTACTAGTCCAAAGTAGAGTCGCTTTTCAGATCTTCTTCAGAGGCT